ATTAATTCCCACAGTTTCAATACTGCAGACGCAGCAGAAACAGCATCAGTCGAGCCCCGCAGCTCTGTGCAGGTGAGCAAAGATCATCACACAGGTGCAGCTCGCTTTATTTACTGCTCCAGCGCAGTCTGCCGCTGCTCTGAAGAAACGTTTGCTGCTTAGCTGTTGTTTTTTCACTTTCAATAACACAAATAATGGAAAAACTGGGGCACTCTGTTGTGTTTTATTTCACTGTGTGCATCTCCCATTTACTTCTGTTGTACTTAAATTAAGCTAATTAGTTTGTGTTGTTTGCTAAGGCATGCATAACAATTACAATTACTCAAATTAATCTGAGCCAACTTCTAAAAGTTCAGTGCATGCATTGTCCTGTAGTGTTTGAAGAAAACACCTGGCAACCAGCCATGATGCCTTAGCAACCGCATAGTAACAAGTTAACAACCACCCAAACATTTGGAACCACATAACAACACTCTAGCAACCACTCAAAATATTTGCAACCACATAGCAACACCCTAGCAACCACCCAAAACACATTTGTGACCACATAGCAACAGCCTAGCAACCACCCAAATCACATTTGGAACCACAAAGCAACACCCTAGCAACCATCCAAAACATTTGCAACCACATAGCAACACTCTAGTAATCACATAAGACATGTGAAACCACATAGCAACACCCTAGCAACCACCCAAAACACATTTGTGACCACATAGCAACAGCCTAGCAACCACCCAAATCACATTTGGAACCACAAAGCAACACCCTAGCAACCATCCAAAACATTTGCAACCACATAGCAACACCCTAGCAACCATCCAAAATATCTGCAACCACATAGCAACACCCTAGCAACCACCCAAAACATTTGCAACCACACAGCAGCCCAAAACATTTGCAACCACATAGTAACTGCCTAGCAACCACCCCAAACACATTTGGAACCACATAGCAACACCTTAGTAACCACCCAAACTTTTGCAGCCACATAGCAACACCATAACAACCAACTAAAACATTTGCAACCACCCAAACATTTGAAACAGTGGTGAAACACTCTAGCAACAACCCAAACATTTGAAACCACATAGCAACTGCCTAGCAACCACCCCAAACACATTTAAAACCACATAGCAACACCCTACTAACCACCCAAACATTTGCAACCACATAGCAACACCATAACAACCAACTAAAACATTTGCAACCACCCAAACATTTGAAACCACATAGCAACCGCCTATCAACCACCCAAAACACATTTCGAACAACATAGCAAAACCCTAGCAACAAGCTAAAACATTTACAACCACATAGCGACAGCTTAGCAACCATCCAAAAGAATTGCAACCACATAGCAACTGCAACGCAAACTGCCTAGCAACCACCCAAAACACATTTGAAACCACACAGAACACCATAAAAGCAATGCCCATCAGTTTTCCCCCCATTTGACATCACTGAGATTCTTTATGAATCTGTGTTCATCCCAGAGAGCGAGAGGCAGGTCATCCTATATTATTGTTAACAGGTTTTCTGTCATCATGTCACGCTCTGAATTGCAATCAATCACACCAGAAACATCCTCGTTCTCGGCTGACCAAAAATATTACAACCTGGCAATATATTCCAGCAGAGGAGTTATGAGCTCTATTCAAATAAGCCGTCTGTCTCCCATCAGAGGTGATATTAGATTCTCGCTGAGATGCACGTGGGTGTCAAGAGTCCGTGGCGAGACCTTCGAGAGCCGGGACGGCTTTATTGGTAGCCCATAAGAAACGGCCCAGAGTTTGGCTGTTGCTGATCCTTTACTCTTTTATTATGGGATCTGCTGGGATTAGCTGTGAACGTGAGCTGTGCTTCACTGCTGCAGGAGAGCCTCAGACTCCATAATAGCTGCCGACTCTCAGATAAGACGGACTGGTCTTTCAGCGCCGCCAAAAACGGGTCACCAGGGCCGCGCAAAGCTCCTCTGTTCAGAGCCAAAACACAGCTTGACCGCTTGATTTACTGGGTCAGTTTCTGAGAGACTTCTCATGTTAAGACTATAGTCAAACTCATTTCAGTACAAGAACAGCGTCACAGATGTGTCAAAGAAAAGTGATGGCTGAAAGAGTCGAAATGTTCTATATTAAATGTTCTTCACACTAAGAAAAAATTGTTCTTTTAAAGTCCGCGTGAACCGGAAGTTGCGGCCGACTGGATTTCAGTGTGGTGGTTTTATGTTTGAGCTCCTCCTCTCATCTCTCACTCACAGCAGACTAATGGTCGGAGGGGCGTGGTTAAGCATATTCTGCCCAAGCGTCAAACTGACGTCATCAGAGGAGGCATGCCATTCCAGAAGCAAATGATCAGATTTTGATTAAAGATTACCAAAACAAACTATTTTTTTTTCTCCAGATGATTAACTTGAACAGATTAAGTGTTGACCTTAAGACTAGCAATGTGCGCTAACAAAATAAATATTGTAAATTTTGATTTCATGTGGACTTTAACATCTCAGGTAATGTCCGTGGTATGATGACAATGACAGTGGTTACATATAAATATATTTTAATTGATCTAAATTATTGTTAGGAACAATTCAGTTGCGCCCCGACTAAATTCTATGTCCTTGAATTGAAAGCATTTTTATGAACAAATTTGGAAAAAACAAATAAAGTTCCCAGAGTCTAATGTAGTCTGGGATAGATGGCGTTATCTGCCTCAGGCAGCGGCAGCACGGAGCACAAGTTAAATGAACAATTCCTCACTTTAATACAAGTTATAACATGAATGTACATCAGAGGATATGTTGAAAAATAAAGTATAACTTCTGTGCCTATAAGCGGGTTTAACCAGGGAAACCATCAGTATAACAGCCTGTGAAGAATCTGTCAGTTACGTGACATTTACCTCAGGAACATAAAACCGTTTATAAATACATTAGGCCTATACATTTGTGTAGAATATATATATATATTTATAAAAAATTACTTAAATGTCCTAATTGAACTATGGACTAATCCTGGCTTAGTCTAAACCCTGGCTGTGAAACCAGGCCTATATCTCAAAAATTAACAAAGTAAGCTTTTTATAAAAAATTTAAAAAAAAAAAGAGTTCACAATGTAGCTGTCAGGGAGTCACCAGTCACCACACAGTGTGTTCATAATGTCATAAATTTCTCATAGAATAACCTATTAAATTATGTGAAAAAATGTTATTACATTGAAAAATTATTATTACATTATGAGCTCAAGATTTTATTACTTTTAAATGAATTAAAGTAATTTTCTGTTCCAAAAAAATTTTGAAAATTGCATTAAACTTTTCCACTAATATTTTTCTGGAAAAAAAGTCATTATTCATTATACAGATTCATTAGTTGCTATTATTTATTTGTTTGTTTGTGAACGGATGGATGGATGAAATTATTTTCTGTTCAAACACAAATTAGAAAACCTTTTTTTTTTCCACAGACATTGTTTTGAGTTCACTTCACTCTTAAAAATAAAGGTTCCTAAAGGCAAGAACCATGTGTGGTTCCCAAAGAACATTTCAGTGAACAGTTCTTAAAGTAAATATGTCAGCAAACTGTGCTCTTTCAAGGATGTGCATTTAATGCATGGCCAACTGTTCCTGTATTTAAGCAACATTCCATATTAAATCCATACAGGAAGCAGTTTATGTCACGCCCAGTTTAGGGAGCTAATCATTTGCACAAAAAACAAAACAAAAAAAAACAAAACATTTTTTATGATGCTAAGAGGAACTATAGTTCAGCTATAGTTTAGTTATTCTATAAATGCTAAAATGAATCTCAGACGTGAACATATTTGCTTTGCTTAACCCATTCATGTACAAATTAATTAAAAAAAGAAATTAATTTGTACATTAAAAGATTAAGCAAAGCAAATATGTCTTTTTTTTCAAATATTGAGATCTTTTATTTATACATAGGCTAAATAACAGCACAACTATTTTGACTGTCCCTTATACTGGGCTGCTTTTACTTTATTATTTTACTTTATGATGCTCTTATTATCATTGGAAAAGATGGCGCCAGATAGTGTGTTGGCTTGCCGTCGCTCTGCGTTTAGGATATCTGTACTTTGTTTGTTTGTTTTATTTTTATGTTTTATAAACTGCTTGAATTGCTCACATTTGATTTATGACCTGCGACCTTCCTATCTGGTACATGTTCTCCCTGATACATCAACACTATTGCCTTGGACTACACGGAGAGGGACAAGACGTGGAGGTGTGGTGCACTCAAACTTGCGCCCTGTGAGATGAGCCGAGTCAACGAAGCTAAGTGGTTCTTCTTCTAATCGGTCCATTGTATCGACCACTGTGCATATGGCTTTGATAAATGCACGTTCAGTTGTCAACAAAACATTCATCCTGAATGACTTTTATGTAATTCTTACCAGTCTCAACGCCGTCTGTGCTCCTCTCAGAATATGCTCCTAACCGTCCCACGGTCTCGGTTGAGGCGTAGTGGAGACCGCGCTTTTTCTGTTGCGGCTCCTACTCTCTGGAACGTGTTACCATTTTCTATAAAATCCTCGGCAAGCATGGACATTTTTAAAAAGGATTTGAAGACCTACTTATTTTATCAAGCTTTCGGCGTTTAAATAGGTCGGAGAATTGTGAGGGATTGGCTGCATGTTTTTCTTGATGTTATGTTTTGTTGTTATTTTATGTTTGCATGTTTTTTTAGTATTATTTTTACTTATGGACAGTACTTTGGTCCATTTGAATGGTTTTGAAAGTGCTTTATAAATAAAAATTGAGTTGTGTTGAGTTGAGTATTATAAGTATAATTATATAATTATGACAATATGACAATATTTTTGGTCAGTTTATAATGTAATACATTTCTCATAATGTAATAATTGTTATTACATTAAGAGCTTAGGATTTTATTACATTTTGAGAAAATTATTACATTATG